ACTAGTGACTGACTCATAATCAAGATTCCTCACGGTTTAAAAAGGTAACACGACAAGACTTCACAAAACAAAGGGCGATGTCGCGCCAAGTCACGCTGGGTGTCTCACGTTCAGCTGTAATTCATGCAAAGCTACTCTTATAGCTTTGCATGAATCAAGTCCAACATAGAGCATTGCAAGAACTCCACAAGTTTAGGTTCATGTATATGTAACCGTATGTAACCGTAGACCTCCAAGTAAATAACTTACCCACTTGTAATCTATTACCAGGTTACATATAGACTCTGGGTTAATGACTTGTTTGGCCAGAGAAGTTGATTTAAGCAGTGATCTGAAAAAGTCCAGTGCTGTGTTTGGGGACACTGTGCAGGAGAGACAGGAAAACACACACTCACGTCTTCCCTGTATCTCCAGCCGTCATGGCTCCCAGCTTGTCACAGGCATACAGGCGGAGGTGGTGGATGGCCATCACAGCCATCATCGAGAACCTGCTGTTCTCTGCTGTGCTGCTGGGCTGGGCCTCGCTGCTCATCATGCTGAAGAAGGAAGGCTTCTATTCTCACCTTTGCCCTGGTAAGACCGCTGTGAAAATACGTCTGCTTCATTAAAAGAAACAATGCACTGCAGTAATCATCCACAAGTCCCTCTTTCACTTCAGCCTTGCAGTATTTAACCTTCCTAGAAATGAGTTGTGGCACAAGGTGCTTTCGGTAGCTGAAGCAGTTTCTCGGGGTCTTTAATTGGTCGTCCTGATTTGCTTCTTCTATGACCCGTCCCAGGAAACGAGACTGCGGACACGAATGTGACTTTCATGCAGAGCAACGATTGGAAGAGTTGTGTGGAACAAGAGGAGATACTGAATCTCGGCTTCACCATCGGATCCTTCCTCTTGAGCGCAGCCACATTACCCCTGGGCATCTTGATGGACAAATATGGGCCACGACCGCTGAGACTCATTGGCAGGTATGACAGCTAAATGAACCAATCAAATTTAAACTTTAGTTCATGTTCTGAGTGAAAAGGTTTGAGGGCTGATTGCATCATCACGCTCCACATGTGAACTGTTGGGCTGAGCAGCTTGGCAGGGATGCCTGATTTAGTGTCAGAGTGAAGTGTGAGCTACTCAGACTTCTGTGTCTTTTTCAGTTCATGCTTCGCAGCCTCCTGCGCCATAATAGCTGCTGCTGCGTACGACCCTGAAGGTGAGGAAACACGTCAGCACACATGCTCGGATCCAAAGGCAAATACTAGCAGAGACATATTTGTAGTTTTAGCATGTCACCCTGCCTCTTCATTATGATTTGACACGGCCACATGTTTACAACGTAGACAGGAAGTGACACTTGGTTTCATCACAGCTGAAGGTTTTTCTCGTTTGGTCCATCAGTCCTGTCGGGCCTCATCTTCTTGGCCGTGTCCTTGAACGGTTTTGGAGGAATCTGCCTGACCTTCACTTCACTCACAGTACGATTTACACACACACACA